AAGCAGTTCTTTAACTGTAAGAGATGACTGGAGAAGCGTTACATTACTAGACTGACAGGAATCATCAGAAGGTAGCCCTGTGAATCCATCGGGGTATTTCTAATGGTTCCTAAGTTTACCCCAAAACTACAGTAGGTCCCAATTCTAAGGGACTCTGGAGTCTCACAATTTTTACTGAGCTACTAACATTTCAGGATCAGAGCCCTGGTCTTGCAAGCATTACAGATGGCTCCATGGAAACATACACAATCCTGAATCACAGAAGAGTCCACAAATTCCAGGTGGTATCACTTTAGTATCTTTATTTCATTCCACTAATTTCTATTTCATTCCATTCCATTCCAGCTTAAGGACCCTTAAAGGAAGAGGTTAGGATGGAAATCTAATCATGCCCTTGACTTTCCAGAAGTCAGATGTAAACTACACCTTTCTAAGAATATAAAGCAAAGTACTGTTCCAGTACTTATCTAAACTACACAGTTAATTTTTCCTTACTTCATCCCTACCTACAAAGAGGGAAATGATCATGTAACTGAGTGTAGACATTCTAGTACGTTCATTACAAGCTCAACCTGCTGAAGTGACGGCAATGACAAGGTATATTATATTGATTAATCTGAGATACTACGTCAGGGTAATGTAATGCTTGAAACTTTATATTTTGAAATGCAGAAATACAAAACTGCCACCCACGAGCAACCTCTTCTCAGCCAAGAGACAAGATGCACTTAGCTCGGAGCATGAGGAGACAAGAACAGGAGAGGGGTATGCTCACAGTATCCAGTCTATGTATTTACCCAGGCTTGAGAGGTACATTTTCAATTTGAAATTCACACCACTGATATCCCAGCCCCATCCAAGTCACTGGCCATCAAAAACCATTAGAAGGCTGAAAATGGAAACACCTAGTCAGATTATCTCATGAACACCTAATGAATTCAAATGTGCGAAGTACTTCCCTTATTACTTCATAATGTTTGTCTGTCATTGAAAACATCTTCGGGTCTAGGCTCAGCAGCTATTTAATCTCTAACGATAACGAAATTACTTCCCTTTGACTACAAAAGCAGACTGTGTTCTTAAATTAGATGGTCTAATGTACATTATAAAAGGCCGACAGCCAATTTCCTGATGGATAGGACGGCTCTGGATGAGTAATTTAGACACTGTAAACCATTGTCTAGTCTAATCTTTCACCTTGCCCAGTCAAGAGGGCTTTGTGCCATTGAAAGCTCTTACTTCCTTGTAACGACATGCCAGAACACGCCAGGTACCACAGCCAGCAGAACAGAAGGGACTCAACAAAATGCCTCCCAATTTTCACCTACCAATAATTCTGGATTTCTAAAATATTTCTTTGAGCAAAGGACCTGAAAGTAACTTAACACCACCAATCCATGCAAACCTACCACCTTTCTCGTGTGGCAGTTGAGAAATATTTACTTTATTGTTGAAATGCAGCTACTGCAAAGGGGAAAGATGTGAAAACAGGAAAGACAGGCACATGGCTGAGAGGGAAGTATATGTTACAGACTTCTCTACAGAGTTAATCCATGCCTTGATTATTTGGGTGTTGCCTCCAACTTCTGTTCTATCCATACACAAGAAGTTTCTATTTTAGTTTAGTAATGTCTTCAGCAAAAGCAGGTCTACTTGTTGGGGGGAGAGAAAAGGAACAGAGAAATGTTAATTCAAATTAGTACACCTGATGTTTACTACAGTATTTGAATGCTGCCACTTTCAACAAAAGAGCTCAGAGAGAAGTTACTATAAGATAGCCAAGAGGTAAATTCAGAGAAGAGGTATTTTTAGACTATTCTGATTTGCTGTGAAGGTGCTGTTTAGCTCTAGTCATTCCTTAATTGGGTTATACTCAAGTCTTATTCCACACTACCTCTATTAGCCTTTTAGTATTTGGGAACAACTTGTTGCCTAAGAGGAGTAGAATTTGAGTTCTGGTATTTCAGGTTAATCCTGCAGTGAAGAAAAAAAAGATGGGTAAATACTGGTGTGAATTCCATGAGTTTGGGGGTTTAATGCTTTTAAGATAAGAATTAATGGAAGAGGTTGTTTGGTTGTCTCTTTTTTTAAAGATAGAAGCATAAGTCAAAGCCAAGAGACAAAAAAACAGGAAGATGAAAGAAGGGAAGGCAGGTGGCGGGAAGACACAGCAAAAGCATCATTTGTACATAGTATAAATAGGCTCATTTTTTAACCAGCACTGTTAATTGCAAAGGCCACAATATAAAGAACGATTCAGCAATTTAAGCACTCAGAAAATGGAGGAACTGGGTGCTGGACCTTCCTCAGATGGATTCAAATTCACAACTCACCCGAGGGGTGCTTCCCTTCCCCTCCATCACCAGAGGTGGGCCACCAGGAAACCAGGATTGCAAGAATCACGTTAGAAGGACAACAAGCAAGGAAAAGCCCAGCTATTGGGCACTCAGTTGTAAAGAGGCAGACTCGGGCTCCACGCTCTGGTCCCAGGATGTTTTTCACATTTTATAGCAAAGTCTTTGAAGTCAGTGGAAAAGTGTCAGTGGGGAAGGGAGTGAGAAAGGTAAGAAGCGTCTTTAGAAGTAAACCAGGAAATCGGAATGAGACACTAAGTCACTCCCTCTTCCCAGCTGAATATCTTGACTTCTAAGTTACAGGGTTAGGCTGGTTCTCCCTTGCCTCCATTCCAACTATGTCCCATTTAAGGAACCTTTCTGGACTCCACACAGAGACTTGAAATGATGGCAGGAGTTGTCATCAGTTAGGACATCTGTCAAATACGGTGAGTAGAAGGAGTGTGTCCCTTCTAAAATGCTGGGAGATATGTGAAGGTTACCAGGTCAGCATTTTCTCAGATATTTATGGATTAAAAACCGAGCCCTGGCCAAGTGAAGTGAGACGATGGAGTGTCAAGGACAAGTATGCCTTGCAAACTTGCTCTCCTCCTTTTGTCTCAGGGATAAAATTATTCTGGAGTGTATTTAAATAATATTGACCGTGGTAATTTAGTATCCCAAGAAATTAAGACAGGATTGGCATCTCAGAAGAGTTTAGCCAAGGAGAGTTAAAGATAATGATCAAGAAAAATCATGAAAGGAAAGAAAAGAGACATCTAACGATGCAGGTGTGATGGAGAACTGATTGGATAAAGACACCAGAGGAAAGATGAGACTGGGTGAGGATCTACCTGTGAGCTGAGAACCAGTAGTGATGGGAATCATGAACAAGAATAAGGAGTTTTAACCTGGAGAACCTGTGACAAGCCAGTTAAGAAGGAAAGGGGAAAGCACCAAATTTTAAGAGCTCAGACTGGAACTTGCAGAGAAACTGAACTGGAATAAGAACCCTGAGAAACAGAGACTGAGACTGGGTAGGTGAAGTTAAAGAAATGGGAATGGGGAAGGTGGTAGAGGAAAAGAATGAGAACAAGGCAGGCCCAGGGTGATGGAGCAGGTTAAGTCTCCGTGCAGCAGGTTTGGCATCCTTCGCCTCCAGAACATGGCATGGAATTTAATACTCCAAAGCCTAGTGTCAGATGAAACGGTAAAGATATCCCATTTTCCATCCATGTCTCCTCATCCTCTTAAATTAATGCTTCTAGACCTGGAAGAGAACCACCTGCTACTGCTACCAACACAGTTACTCTGTTAGCTAAGTGGAATATATTTCTGTATTTGATCTAAAGATTCTGCCCTACCAACTAATTTTGCATACATTGACATAACGTCCCAGAACTCAATTTATTTTCATAATACAAAAGCTAAAAAAATTACATGCAGACTCACTCCTCCCCGCCCTGAATTCTGCATGAAGAGAGGATCAATATTAGAGTCAAGCTTGCAGAAGCATAGAAATGCCTGTGCAACTTTACCCCAGCCCTCACGTAGTACAGAATACATAATGACAGTCATCAATATTTCAGTTTATAGTAGTTCTATCTTTAATATTTATACTTCTAGATATTTCTTCCCCCAAGAATCATGCTTCATTGCATAGGATCAACTTGAGCTCTTTGTTCAAGTTAGAATTACACAACAGGAAAGGGAATTGCATTAAAGAAAATCTCCAGATTAAGGCACTTGAACAGAGCTTTATGGAACAGCAATCTATATCAATCCCCATCAGCCACCTTCTTGTGCAATGTCAGCTTTCCAGAGAAAGTCATCAATTCGGGGTACTTTAAAAAAAGTATTTAAAAGTAAAACAACAAACATTAGTTTCACTAGGCAGATAGTTAGTTTTAAGTATTGCCATCATGCCCAAAGCTTCACCTTGCCTCACTGAACAGGTAGCAAAGCAAAGCCAGACAGTAAGCTCTCTTGAAAAAGCAGAAGCCCGAAAGCCTGGCTCTACATGAACCAAGACTCAGCTGAGATTTTAAACAAAAATATTATGAAAAACTAAATAATTTTTTAAAAAACCCTCCTTCTTTCGCATTCAGCTGTACAACGCAACTAGATCCCATCCCAAAACAAAACACACACTTGCCCTAAAACCTTGTATACTCCTGGTGACCCCTAAAAAGGGGATTATTCATGACGCTTTAGGATCTTGAAAGATGTGCAGCCATGAGCTTGCTTAACAGAAAAAGCTGCCAACAGCCCCTGAAGGTATTTGAAGATTAAGTTTGAGGCTGTCTAGACAGAAACCAAGCTTGTAATAACCAATTCTCCCTAATTGACACCCCGCAAACAAACCTCTCCTGAATAGCTTGATCGTAGTCACAGCTTCATTCCCTGGAACCAGTTACAGGCAAGATGCCAGGCACTGGTAGGAAACTGCCAGGACCAGAGTATGCCGGCATAGCAGATACTTACTGCATAGCTAGAATACTACAACAGCGCTATCTGTTGTATTTTCTGTACAAGTGCCATAAACACAATTCTTCAGAAAAAAATGAATGAGAAGATAGCTCATTGTCAGCAAGACACCTTGTTCCTTATACTTAACAATATTCCTAAGTGCAACAAGAAAACACAGTGAAATAAGAAACATTTTACCTTCTTGTCTTTCCAATTCTCTTATCAGTTCATTTTGTAGATGACTATGTTGTGATGATGTCAAATCCATACTATGCCACAAAACCTGGGACAGAGAAACACAAGCTTGCCTGAATAAAATTACTTTATTTCTTTTTCCCCACATAACACTTCTCAAAAAAATTAAAATTATTTTTACATGTATTATGCTATAATTTATTTCTATTGATAATAAAGACATGTAGACAAATAAATATCAGTATTCAAAGCATAAAAGAACCAGAAGCAGCAAGCTAGTTCAACTGTTCTACTCTCAAAGAGGGGAAAAAAAGCAAGCTGATTAAAAAAAAAAAAGCTTTGATAAATGTTTAAAACTATTTTATGATATTTTAAAATTAGAATCAATTCAAATCAGGGTTAGTAGGCTTATAAACAACTGAAAGGAAAGGTAGCAACAAATGTCTGAAAGAAGAAAAATTGCACCAAAGGATCTAATCTTGTTTGAATTAATTGGCTTGGAAGGAACAACCTTTTAGTAAAAGTTGCGCATGAGAATAAGTAGGAAGCAGGAGCTATAGACAACATGCAGAATAGAATGTGTATGTGCCTATACAGACAGACACAGAACATGCAGACTTGGAAGAAAAAAAGTAATAGGAAAAGTATGACAGAGGCCAATACAATTTTCAGCTGTCTGCAGAAAAGCAGACAGCCAACCAATAGTCTCCAATTCTTGATATTTTACAATCAGAAACACACTGAGTTCAGAGAAAAAAAAGAAAAGAAAATCAGTGCTCTGGTAATTTTTAAAGCTCTTGCATTGTTATATGGAAATTTGATTGATTTTTGCAGGAATGGTTACAGGCAGCATACAGTTAATAATCTACAGATGTCTAAACACCCAATAGGGATGGAATTAAATAAGGCAACGGGTGAAGGGGTATCTCTATCTAGTAAAAAAAAAAAAAAACCCAAAGTAAAAACATACGCTGAATATCAAGAAAACTTCCTCACAGTGCAAAGCCTTAGGCAGGTTTTCCTCTCAAGGCTTTGGACGAAAGAGGACAGTGCAGAAGAGTCCTGTCTTCTTAGAAAGGATGCACCATATTCTCTTGACTTCACCCTACAAAAGGCATACAGGTTCAATGTTTTAACCTTATCATCACAATGCCAGCAGCCATTAACCTATTTGAAGGTGGAAAATAACTTCGGGGGCTTCTACACATCACTGTAACTTGTAGAACAAAAATACTGCTATTATAGTTATGTCTACCTATGAACTTAGCAACAGTAACATCATTACATGGGGAACTTAAAAGAGATTCAATGGGATTCAAAGTCTTTGTATGCATCTTCCGAGTAACAGGTAGCATTAGAAACTACTGCGACATTGAGCAGTAAATGTTACACACATCCATCAGCTTGTCATCTACCTCAGAAGTATGAAAAAAGACAAATTTTCTTCTCATTAGAAGATAAAAATAACAAGTTAATAATCAATCCTTTTGTATTCTGAAGGACAAGCAATGTTGCACTATAAAATCATCCTTAAAGGGAAAACCTTTGTATTTTGTGGTCCTCGATGTTTTGGGGGTTTTTCCCTTCTAAAAATTCCTTTGAGGTACACTGAACGACACAACAACCTGTCTGACTTCAGCATATGAATTCAGGAGTACTACAAGCCACTAAACAGTGCAGAACAGCACAGTTGCTGAGTTATGCTGTTGAAAGTAAATGACACAAAGTAATTTAAAGACACAGACAAGCAAAATACCACTGGCATGGGCTGCATTTCAGTCAACTTTACCTGAATTTCCTGCAGCTTCCCAAAGATGGTACTCAATCAGAAAAAATCCTTATCTGCCCCGTCATTTCCCTCCCAGGCAGAAGTGTGCTCTGAAGTGTGTTATCACGCGTTGCCAACATCCCCACTCCAGAAGCAAGAATAAATCCCGACAGCTGCAGCCGGAACGCAACACGGCACCACACACCGCGTCCCTTACGTAAGGGAGCAGATTTCGTAACAGCAGCAGGCACCCCGTCAAGGGTAACCAACCAACTTTGTGTGTTTTTTACAAAAATAAGATACTGGCACAGCGTTAGCAACCACTCACTGTCACCGAAAAGTAACCGCAGAGCTAAATATCAGTCCTGGGAGTCAAAGGGGTCTTCCAAGCACCGAGCGCCATTTACAAAGGGGCAAGGGTATATAAATGCATGCTCACGTTGGAATGCAGAGCTGTAACAAGGTACACAGCCCCCAAAATCCTAGCACACTTTATCCCATGAGACAGCCGTCAACATGCATAACCATACACATACCACTCCTCTTTTGTAAATACAAGATGTACATTCGCGCAACTGATTGCAACCACTTACTGCCATGGGAAAAAATACAGGCATCTTTAAGACTTCTCTTATTTAGACTGTAACCAATTCAGGACAGGAACTGTCTCCTCCTTTATCCAGTTTTTAGCAAAATTAGGCTTCAACCTCAACTGGGGTTTCTGGGTGCCATTGAAAAATAATAAATTATTGTACAAAAATACTAAACAAGCCCTACAGAGAACTGAAGGTCTCTGTACTTTACCATACTTGGTAGAAGAAATTAATAGAAGCTCTTCTACATTCAGAAACTATCAAACAAATCACCAAGACCCGACCTACACTTTTAAAGCAAAATTGAATAATACAGAGTGACTTACAAAACACTGCTGTAAAAGTGGCTGTTCGGGCTGAGAATTTGCTTAAAAGATGATCATCTTTTACAAAAGTAGTATCAAAAGGGATCATTTTTGCCCAGTAAACACTGTACATGAAGTATTAGACTCCCAGCAACTAAGGGCCAAATCCTACCCAGTTCACCTCAGCCCTTCATCCTTTCAGGGGAGGCTAATGTTTCATATGGAACTTACCTGTATGGACTTGGACTTTCAAACAATGGAACAATGAGAAATGAAGTAGAAATAGTAAATGGGAAGACAAAAGAAGCAAGACAGAGGACTACAATGTAATGTAAGAACCCAAGTAGGACTGGCAGCATTCAGTGCTTTTCCATCTTAATCCACAGGAACTATAAATAAATTCTACACATTGTTCCTCTCACAAATTAATCCGACATGAGTGCTGCAACCAGCGGGTACCTCTGAACATCACTTCTGCAGCCAAATTCTGTCTTTGGACATGGTCACATAACTCCAAGTCTAGAAACACAACATTTAACATTCAGAACGTGAACAATTATAGCACCTCAGATTATATAAGGACTTACTGTACTGTATGATTTTCCGAGGGCTTACACTGTCTCATGAATGGTTCAATAAGCAACGTTACTTTGAGCACAAAACTTTCAGGACAGGCAAAGTGAAGGGAATAAAGAAAACAACACTAACTGAACTAATCTTCCTTCTCTCAGCACCTAGAAATAATCCAAGTTTCTTTCAAAATTTCATTTAAGTTTGAAGTTAAGGAAGCAACAGATTGTGTGTGATTTTTAACAGCTATCTCACCTCAGTTAGAATACAAGTAAATGGGCACCACATTTTGGCTCAATTTTAAAATCTCAGAACAGAAAACTTATATCAAGTCCAACCTACGCCTTCATGAGTAAATGTGATAAAATTATTTATTTCCATCATTTAAAATCCCTCCAATTTAAGTTCTGGACACAAAATGCATGAAAAATAGGTAACAAATAGGGATAATTTATTATTTATCAAAAATTCATTAGAATATTTACAAAGCTTAAGTCATAAAAAAATCATGTGCACACAGTCTCTCTTTTTTAAGACTTTTTTTCTTTAAGGCTTTTTCTTTTTTCTTCCTTTCTTACTCTGTGATTTCTTTTTTCTGCCCTCAAACACAGGTTTGGCAGTCACCATGGCTACGTTTCCCAGTTCTTCATCCTCACCACTTGAGCTACTACACCCTTTCTTCTCTTTACAATCTGTTGCCTCCATTGCAGAGACGTTTTTCCTCTTTCTGCTCTTGCCTAAATCTATGCTTTCTGATTCCTCTACTGAGGAGTCACTAGAAGTTTCTGAAAGATGCAAATTTCCAATAAAACCACCTCCATATATACGTTCTTTTGTGAAATCTGAATGTTTTCTTCTCTTTCCACTTTTGACTTCCATTGACACAGCTTGATGATTGGCACAGCCTGCAGTGCCCTCCCCTTTCTTTTCCTCACGCTGTTTAAGTTCAATCTCCATAACAGCTGTGGCCTCCCGGATTTCATCGGCTTCTTCTTCTTTTTCCTTTCTCTTCAGACACGTCACAGCTCTGCGCAGTCTCTGACTTTTAAGAGCTTGTTTTTCATGCTGTGCTAGTCTGAAGAATGAATCAATCCGAAGCTGAGTCTATCACATATAAAACAGAGAAACACCTTTGGATGTTTTTGTGATGGGAATTCAGTTGTTATCTCAGCTATAACTATAAAGCATCCCAAATTAAAGCAGGACAAAGGACTAATTAAATTAATATGCATGCAAATAGATGTGAACAATAAAATGCATTATTATGCTAATACCTATACTTTATTATAAATTACACAAGAGCCTTCACAGAAACTAAATAATAAGCAGACTCCAGTGAAATTTTATAAACATTGTGCTGCTGCTGCTTAGACATGTGTTGCTATTTTCAACCCTAATACAGAGAATCTCTGTAGTGCTCTTAAGTATGTCCTTACAAACACAACCTTAGCTTCAAGCTGCTAAAACAACAGAATGTTTACTAAGCAAATGTTGTAAGTTCACTTTACAGTTGCATATACTAGTGCAACAAAATGCAGTCAGTTGACTCAAGTTCATTTTAACACACGCTGCTAGAGCATCAAGATTTAAGAGTAGAACTAGAAGTAGTCACACACAAGGGGTCTGTGTTACTCAACCACAGCTAGGCTTGCTGTGTAGGCAAAGCTATGTATTCTCCCTAAAATTGTCTAAGAGAGGCAGGATGTTCCTGTCAGCCTGAAAGTATATGAATTTAACTACAGGTTTTGGTACCTTTCACTCCTTTGAGTGATAGAGAGAACCCAGAACACTGGTTTAGACTCCATATCTAACTTGCTTACAGCAAAAGGAGAAAAGAATGTGACCTTAGGTGATCAGTTTTACAACTGACTTTCACAGTATCACAGCATGCACCACTATTCACTTTTAAGTTTTATTAAAGTTGACAGAACACTTATTTGGAAATTAGAGTAATGTTATTAATGGGCACTTGCTCACAGGTTCAGTCTACACTCCTCCTCAAAGGATATGTATGGTACCAAATGGTTGGTCTCACTTGACCAAAATCTCAGGGGCATTTTTATAAATCATTTTAGAGACAGCACGCTGCCTTTTAAAAGTACTGAAGGTGCTTGAGGTTCCTGTAGTTTCAGCTACATCCAGAACAAACAGCAACCTGGACTTGTGATAGGTGCTTGACAGATAACAAAATTTGAAACCAACAATTGAATTACGTACAGTGCCTCACAGCACACCCAAATCATACAGAAATGAAGTCTAGAGAAGTAAGTTTAATGAGTTTTAAAAATATATATATTGAAAAAAAAATGGCCAAATGCCAGTTTCTGAGAAATGTATTTTAGATTAAAGCCTTGCTGTTCATTTTAAAATGCTTCTCTTACAATTCTGCAGTTACCCTTAAACTATACATAGTTTTATTCTTTACCTGCTGCAAGTTCAGCTGTTTCACCACAGGCAGAAGGATTTCATCTATCTTTGTCCTCGTCCAGCCAAAGTGATCCTGACAGAATGTGCAGAAAGTTAAGGAACTGTACAAGGCTATTACTAGTATTTTGTAAACACATAAAATGAAAATGCCTCAAATAAACAGTATCTGGAGGAAAGTTACTCCAAAGCTTTTTCTCTACAAAACCAGAGAAAATACTCTAAGTTATTACAGCTGACTTACGTGGATGGTTCCAGTATTACGCTACGTACCTTAATCATGCTGTTACATCTCTATTAGTTACAGAACTTTTTCTCCAATATCAACATTTCCAAAAGCATGCCTCTGAAGACAGAACTCATTTTGGCTATATGGTACTGCCATAAGACAAAATACCTATAAGTAAACCTTATTTTTACACTTGCACACACTGGAACTTTCATTTACTGTTTGAAACGCTATTAGCTCTGCATGCTTTGCCATCTACTTTTCAACAATTCACTGCAGTTCAAGCTGCAATGGATGGAAGAAATAGCCATTACTGCAAGAAATGCAGTGAATAACTAGGGATAAAGTGCAGACTGAATCACTATTTCTAACTGGGTTTTGAAACTTATTTGTGAAAGATGCAAAACATAATCAGGACTCTGCAAACAATCCCGCTCTAAGTCTAGAAATAGGCACAGCACAGTTACAGAAACGTAACATCACAACAAACTAGTCGGTCCAGCTACGAGACTCTCTTTGCATGCAAAGCAAAGCATCCCACTCTCTCAGGAGGGCAGAGCAGCCCTGAGTGCCACAGATGCATGGCTGCATTCCCTTCCATTCCAGAGCTGGTATCATTGGAGGAGAGTGCATGCAGATGGGACAGGGGGCCCCTCACACCGATGAGATGTTAAGAATTTGACACTCCATTACTGACTCACTAGTGGGCCTTATGAACTTTAATCGGTGTACTTTTAGCTATTAAGTCCTGCCATCCAGTAAAAGGATATTCTCTGATCTGCTCTACATCAGGCTTCCCCCAGGTGAATGAACCTCTTGTCTCATCTACCACAGGCTTCAAGTATGCTTCTGCCACTGCTGGATTTGGGAAACCTGAAGAAAGCTGTAGCTCCCGCAGTTTCTTCTTGACCTTGGTATCATGTGGATTAGGTCTCAGTTTCTTATTCTTCTGAGCTTCATTCCACCACTCACTGAAAAACAGAGGAAAGTATTAATTTGCCTACATAAAATACAATTTGGAATATCAAGAGCCACCATGCTAATTTCAGTAGCCTTAGTCTCCCTACTTCAGTTACTATGTGAGATGAGGTAGGAAATTTCCAAATCAAAAAATGGCCAAAGGGACATATAATCTGGAAGTAGAAAAGACAAAACATACACAGGAAATGCAGCCATTGTAAGCCACAGTAGCCAACATCGCCTGGATTCCCCATAAGCTGCTGAACAGAAGGCCCTAAATTCAGCCTCACTTGGGGAGGATGTTCCACACATAATGATCATTTTTGGAGGTTTTCTGGTATGCAAGAAAAAAAAAAAAAAAGAAAAAAAGACTTCTAACTATCCTCGCCATTGCCAATACATTGCCTCTTCAAATCTTGTTCTTCCCCACAGCCTACCTGTCTTTCTCTTTCCAGGTCATCCATTCCTCACTCAAGTCTCTTTTCTCTACGAGCAAGCTACAGCACCTTCTCACAAACTCAAGAGAGAATAAACCTCCAGTCCACTACGGATCCAACTCTGCAATGAACTCAGAGGCAGCTGCACAGTTCTACAGCTGTTCTATTGTCTTCATTAGTCTCACTGTAACTGCTGTATAAACATGTCACCTTATTTACCTGCCATTCCAAATAGTGATATAATAATGGAGTCATATATTTTACAGTTAACTTAGTCTCCTTAATGATGGTCAATGATGGTCATATGTTTTGTTGTATGCTTAAGCAGCAGACAAGTATATTCACTAATATTCATATTACTGAGACACAAAAAAGCAAAAGACGACGAGCATACGCAAATTTTAAGAGAGGTTCCAAGCCATGCCCAGGAAATTCATTTAAAATCTCCATCGCTGTTACAAAGCCAACATTTGGGATGCCCTCGGTGTAGTCACTTCCAAGCAAGTATGCCAAATTAATTAGCTTGCTTCGATCCAACCCTGTAAAAGAAAGTGAGTAAACCAAATAAAACCAGGGGATTCAGCATCTGTCCTCTTACAAATTAAAAAATAACGTATTATCAGAAAGGCAAAACCCAAAAGGAACACAAAGGCATTAACTCTGTAAAATTACATTTACTACAACATCAGAACTTGCTAAATTATATTCTGGAGCAGTGTCAATATGCTACTACTAGCTCAAGCACCAGTAGTTGTGCTAACTTGGCAAATACATCTTGCCAAAATTAAAATGTTACAATGTAAAGATCAGTGGGAAATTCTGGGTTCCTAAGAGCTAAGAGATACTATTTTACATATATTTCTCCAGTTTTCATCTAATGCTGACCTGAATTTAATAACCC